GGTTTGCATCATTGGTAAGATTCAGTTGTATTGTTATTTAACTTGTTACAGGATACGATTCATATGGATTCTCTGCTATCTTTCACACTTTGGTTCCTTACATTAAACACTAAGTGGTTTGCATCATTGGTAAGATTCAGTTGTATTGTTATTTAACTTGTTATAGGATACGATTCATATGGATTCTCTGCTATCTTTCACACTTTGGTTCCTTACATTAAACACTAAGTGGTTTGCATCATTGGTAAGATTCAGTTGTATTGTTATTTAACTTGTTACTGGATACGATTCATATGGATTCTCTGCCATGTTTCACACTTTGGTTTCTTACATTAAACACTAAGTGGTTTGCATCTTTCGTAAGATTCAGTTGTATTATTATTTAACTTGTTGCTGGATACGATTCATATGGATTCTCTGCTATCTTTCACACTTTGGTTTCTTACATTAAACATTAATTGGTCTGCATCATTGCTAAGATTCAGTTGTATTGTTATTTAACTTGTTACTGGATACAATTCATATGGATTCTCTGCTATCTTTCACACTTTGGTTTCTTACATTAAACATTAATTGGTCTGCATCATTGGGTAAGATAATAGAATATCATTTCTTTAGTATTGAAATGCTAAAGTAATTATACGACTTAATTTATCAATAGAATTAAAGGATTCACTTACACATAGTTTTCGACTTGGTCAATTTCTCGTTTAAAAGTATTTATTCCTAAAGCATCTCTGATAGCATTTAATTTTTTTTGTATTATTTCATGACGTAATCACTTTCTTTGTCATCTTTACTATCTTTAATTAAGGTCAAACCCTCATTATCAATAAAATCCTTATCGTCATTTTCATCACGTACAACTTCACCATTGATATTCACAATATTGTAATTTGGCCGTGGTTGTTTTTCTTCTACCTGTTGTTGTATTATTAGTATTTGTCAATATACTTTTTGGTTGATTTCCGCCCACGTCTCCCACTCAACCTAGTGATAATTCATAACATCCAAAACTACAATAAGAGAATGCTAAGCATTTCGGGCATCTAGGCATTTTACATTTACAAGATAAAGATTCCACTTTGAAATAGTTTTTTCGACAGTCGTTGATGCAGTCGTCAGTAATTTCGATCTGTCGATTTGGAGCAGTCGGTGGTCCACTGAAACTAGAAATAAATTAAATCGTCGTCGTTTGATATTGCTAAAAAAAAAGGAAACCGAAAAAATACCATTTCCACAATTTGTTGATACAGGCGGTGTCAAAATATACGAATACTTTTAAACTTCTTTTTTTGACCTGAACCAAAAGCTAACGTATTTGGTTATTTCTATGTTCCTAAACACAAATATTTCAACTAGAACTAGTATTTTTTTAAGCGAATATTTATGTCCATATATATTTTTATACGGGAATATCTATACCCCCCCCCCCACCCAGTGGCACAGTGGTATGTCTGCGAACTTATAACACTAGAAACAAGGTTTCGATACTCGTGGTGGGCAGAGCACAGATAGCCCATTGTAGTAACTTTATTCTTAACTACAAACAGACAAACTTCTATAATAAAAAGAAATGTAAAAATTTATAATTGTAGATTATTTCAGAGGCATATGATATTAAAACGTCAATTGTACTCTTTAATTCAAATCATTAAATATCATTAGGGGGGGGTAGATAAAGTATCAAACTAGAAAATATGAGATATTAAAGATAATTCATGGACGTTTCATGACCGACGTTTCACCAGACGTCATCGAAAAAAGATGTTTGTTTCTTCCTTCAAGATGACTCAAAGCTGAGGTTTAGATCTTATGTCGGTAAAATTGGGGGTTCAATCCTTGCGGTTGGCACAGCGTGAATAACGCCTTGTGCATTTTTTTTTTTAGAATTTCACGCAAAGCTACACAAGGACTAAACAGGCTACTTTGACAGGGATAGTTTAAAAATAACGGATTGTTAGGTTCGATTAAAAAGTTAAATTTAATATGGTGCACTCTTAACTGTTAGTTTTTGAAAAGAAAATCCGCTTAATATTGATATTAATAATCGTTCATAATATAAATCTATACAAATAACCATTAATCATATTATAAAACTGTAAAAGTAACCGTTAATCATGTAAAAACCTATATAAGTAACCGTTAATCATGTAAAGCCTATACAAGTAACCGTTAATCATGTAAAGCCTATACAAGTAACTGCTAATCGTGTAAAACCTATACAAGTAACCGTTAATCGTGTAAACTTATACAAGTAACCATTAATCATGTAAAGCCTATACAAGTAACCGTTAATCATGTAAAGCCTATACAAGTAACCGTTAATCGTGTAAACCTATACAAGTAACCGTTAATCATGTAAAGCCTATACAAGTAACCGTTAATCATGTAAAACCTATACAAGTAACCGTTAATCATGTAAAACCTATACAAGTAACCGTTAATCATGTAAAAACCTGTACAAGTAACCGTTAATCGTGTAAACCTATACAAGTGACCGTTAATCGTGTAAAACCTATACAAGTAACCGTTAATCATTTAAAACATATATAAGTAACCGCTAATCGTGTAAAACCTAAACAAGTAACCGTTAATCGTGTAAACCTATACAAGTAACCGTTAATCATTTAAAACATATATAAGTAACCGCTAATCGTGTAAAACCTATACAAGTAACCGTTAATCATTTAAAACATATATAAGTAACCGCTAATCGTGTAAAACCTAAACAAGTAACCGTTAATCGTGTAAACCTATACAAGTGACCGCTAATCGTGTAAAACCTAAACAAGTAACCGCTAATCGTGTAAAACCTATACAAGTAACCGTTAATCGTGTAAACCTATACAAGTAACCGTTAATCATTTAAAACCTATATAAGTAACTGCTAATGATCTAAAACGCTAACATTCTGTCAGACCCATCACTTGACCGAAGTAAACTTATTTTACAGTTCATGTAATAAGTAAAGTTCTAGAATACGGAAATAAGATAAACGTGATGATATTTAAATTTCGAATTTCCGATGAGATCCGGGTTTGGAAACACGTGTTTTTGAACTATATATATATTCACCAAACTACTTGTGGGTCCATGCTCTTAAAAGTTTCTTGATACTTAATAACACACGAGTCATACAGAAAAACATATATATATATATACAAATACGGTCGGTGTTACAAGTAATCCCACTAATCATTACGGGTGTTTTTTAATGTATTATTCTACAAAGAAAAAGAACGATTTCATCCGATATTTTTGGTCAGTTCTTTACACTGACTGTCGAGACTGACATAAAAATAGAATTTCTCAATATAATGAAATATTTGAACTCACCAGTTGTGAACGCTATCTAAACAAGTCGGTATTTTACGGGTTAACAAAATAAATAGGTACACCACGATGAAAAACACGCAATCAACGTGAAATTGCTTGTGTAGAGTTTTTTTAAAGACATTTGCAAGAATTCGTGAACACGTCTAGTAAAATAAGTTGAATAACTGGTGAACACATCTAGTAAAAGAAATAAGAATAACTGGTGATCACATCTAGTAAAAAAAAATATTAACTGGTGAATACATCTAGTAAACGAAGCAGAATAACTGGTGATCACATCTAGTAAAAGAAATAAAAATAACTGGTGAACACATCTAGTAAAAGAAATAAAAATAACTGGTGAATACATCTAGTAAAAGAAATAAGAATAATTGGTGAACACATATAGTAAAAGATGTAAAATAACTGGTGATCACATCTAGTAAAAGATGTAAAATAACTGGTGATCACATCTAATAAAAGAACCAGAATAACTGGTGAATATCTCTAGTAAAAGATGTAAAATAACCGGTGAACACACCTAGTAAAAGAAGCAGAATAACTGGTGAACACATCTAC